TGAGAAGCTCTATGCTCTAAAATAGCTTTCCACACCCAAACGTGACGGCCGCTCTACTCAGGGGAAGGGCTTGCCTATTCCTTTGATGTTAGCGGCTGCCGCCCTATCCTACTTCCTCTCTCCCACCCCTCCTCTGTGACGTGCGCTGGTACATTGGCGCCGCTAAGGCAACCGAGTACGGCGGTGCATATGTTGCCCGGTATCTACGCGTATCTTATTGTGTTTATAATAATATATATCATATTATCTTAATATAAAATGTTATTTCATTAGATATAGGTATGTAGTTTTATAATGTGATTTTTAAAGAGGGTTTCATTAATATGGTAGGCTGCAGTGTAGCTACAGTATATACCCCCAATTAAAACTGCCGACTATGCGAATTTCCATATGTCTGAATTGATATTTAATTAAATCTATTTAAATAACAATAGGTTTAAATAACATTTATGTTAAATGTTATTAGCTTAGTTTAAAATACCCCCGTCGTAGCAAACCTGCATACTAAGCGAATTTCCATTTACCCGGTTTGATTTCTACTAAAATATTCCCTATACATTTTCAGATTTATTTCCTACTAGCAGAGTACCCGTCCTTCGTACGGGGTAGGCATAATATAAGTATAGAATGCTTATTGCAGTTTTACTCAAACTTTGCGTTTGCAATGAGGGAGAACACAGTTTGATACAATTTGCGTTTTAAATTTACAGTATTCTATAGTATTACACATTTACCATAGTAATAATGTTCTACCACTTCACCTAAACAATAGAGAAAAACAAATGATCAAAAATTCTCAAAATATCGAACACATTTTACATTTAATTAAAAACATAAACATAACTGTAAACAATCCTACTTTGACAGTCACTTCTCATGGTGGAAGGTCCACCATGGTCAGTTCTCATTGCGTATCACAGTTTTTTTATGTTTAGTTCAAATTAGCTGTTTTCATAAATGCAAAAAAATATAGTGCTGCACCCTGTTGGTAAATGTTACACCTTTTAATGCTTTTGCATATCATAGAACCAACTTTTTTAGTTGAAACAGCTTACTAAATTCTTTAATTCCCTTTAAATATTAATACTCATAAGGTTAACATGGGGAACTACAGAGCCACTGGAGCGGAGCCCGAAAGGATTTTAAAAATAAGAATATGCCTATATGTTACTCGAGAATGTGAGCTATTATCAAGCCAAATTTCAGCCCAATCCGTCCAGTAGTTAAGGCGTGATTGAACTTGAAACAAACAAACAAACAAACAAACACACAAACTTTCACATTTATAATATTAGTAAGATTTAAATAACATTAATTTTAGTGAGTAGTTAGGTTTGCTGCTACGGGGAAGATGTTGAGGTGTGTTTTTTCAATTGAAATATTGATAGCTTAGTATGAAATAAACCAAATTGCCAAATTTGATTAAAATATATCCATAAACAAGCATACTAGAACAGTTTATTTATTCACCATAAGAATAACATGGGAATTTTAAATTTACAATTTCTTAAATTTTCTCCGTAGTCAATGAACATTCAAAAACACTTCAATATACTAAATTATTGTTTTTTTAAGCTCTTCAAAATGGTCTAGAGAGAAATTTAGAAATTTAAAGTTTTTAGGGTCAAAAATGAGAAAAACCCATTTTTACCCCATAAAACCCCCCATAAACCCCTGATGCCATGGTCCGATTATGCTGGTTCGCAAACTCGTTCTAATAAATGTAGGTTTACACGTTTGTACCAAATTTCATCAAAATCGGATCAATTTTGCTCGAGTTATCGCGCTAACGGACACATATATAAATATATATTAAAAATAAAAATCAAAAACATATTTAACAAAGTACCCTTTTAGTAATTATTTTATTTTATTTAAAAGGGTACTTTGTTAAATATGTTTTTGATTTTTATTATATTAGTAGCCCTAAAAATGCAAGAAAATAATAATAAATATATATATATATAAATATATATATTCTTGAGGAGATTTTGATAGAGTTTATGATGAATGAAACATGACACATTGCAAATTTTTGTAATACAAACGTTTTCAAGCAAAGAGAATGAAAAATGTAAAGATGAACAAAACAAATAAATATGAACTGTTTACAAATAGTTGAATTTTGAGAACATATGATTGAGTACAGATCAAAGAAAATAATAAAATTAAAAATTCAGCTGAGTTGAATCATTTTTTTACTATCTTAAATTTAAACCAGAGGGAAACTTTGTTTTCAGTACCAACTGGTGAGCCAATTCAGAATTTCTTAAAACCAGTTGGTTGCATTTAGGGTTTTATGTGGGTTTACTTTGTGAAGGGCTTTAAGGGTATAGCAGCCTTCAAAATTTTGGTTGGTTGGATGGTATAGATTGGTTTTCTTTTGTCTTCATGTACCACATCAAAACGATGGCCGGCCTGTCATTCGAACTCTTAAAGAGTTTGAAGTCTGGCCAATGTAATCTTTTGGACAATGTTTACACGATAGTTGATAAATCACATTGTGAGATTCACAAGTTGATCTACCAACAATCGGATAAACCTTGTTTGTAACTTTACTATCAAATTCAGTTGTATTACTCATAATTTTGCAAATACCACATCGGGGCTTGTGACATGGTTCACAGCCGTGTTTAGAATTGTTTGAAGGCCGAGAATTTTGAATTTTGGGTCTCACCAACATATTTTTTAAATTAACACACACATATATATATATATATATATATATATATATATATATATATATATGAATTTGAACGGATGGTGTTTTTGGCCTCTGGGGACCTCAAAACGAAAAAGTGAATCGGTGCCGGGTCTAGGTCTTACCATGAGACCTACGGTAATAGCTTATTCCCTATATGGGAAATTCGCTAATAAATAAATTTGCCAAGTTTCATAAAAATATATCCATAATCAAGCAAACTACAACATTTAACAATATTCTCCATAAGAATGACATGGGAATTTTAAATGAAAATTTTTGGAATTTTCTCCGTTACCAACAACCGTACAAAAACACTTTGATAAACTAAATGTTTTGTTTTTTAAGCTCTTTAAAAAGGTCTAGAGATAAATTGGAAAATTTTGTGTTTTGAGAGTCAAAAATGTGAAAAAAAACATTTTTTTACTCTATGAAACCCCCCGTAAAACCCCGCTTCCATGGTCCGATCATTCAAGATCATTGGCCGAGAAAAGAAGAAATATTCAAAGGAATCAAAAGTTGGTTAAATAACGTAAGTGAATAATGTTATAGACTCTGAGGTTATAGTAAACCGCTGTATTTTTTTTAGCTTAGATTTTGATTTTGTATTATAACGTACTTTATTTGAACGTATTGAAATATTTATAATAGGTACAATTTAATAGATAAATTGAAATTCTTTTCCTCTCTGCATATTTCCAAAAGTTACAAAATACATACTGTATTATAATATATTTTTATACAACCTCAATGTATTTTATAAAACCTCAATGAATTCCTAAAAAATACAAATTATATATATATACAAATTAAATATGCAAACATAAAAATTAAAACTGCTCAAATTATTTTTATTTTTATTTTGGGGCATTAAGAGTAATTATTATTAAGTACCTATATTGTACGGTAAACCTATAGGATAAAAATATACATATACTTTATACTTTCTTATGAAATGTACAGTATTTAAAAACAAAAAGTGAATAGTTAATCATAAATTGATTGAAAATTGTCTTTACTAACAACGCCTTGAGTGATATAAAAACAGGTATGAGGAGTTGAGGCGAGCGAAAACAGCGGTTCTACACTCTACAGCCCCTGATCTACGATAAAGCAGTACAGTTCAAGAGACTAGTTCCCAAGGTCGACTGTAGGAGCAGCACCGTACTAGGCGCGAGTTTTGGGCATGGAATCACCCGTATGGCTGCCGCTCTGTTTTGTTTGATTACTCTGAGGTTAAACTAATATATCTGTTTGATTAACATAAAATAATTTATACAAGCATTTGGATTGATTTGGCCTAGGGTAGCAAGTACCCTAAATCCGGCACTGATTAAGACAAACTCTAAAAATAGTGCTTCTTATATTGCAAGGGACTTAAACTGGATGTAGCAAGAAAGAAGCATGGGATTGCTAACTCAGGAGTTTGGTAGGGTTTTTGGCTACTCAGGAGTGAACAGCTTCTTTTCACCTGAGCTCCACCACATCTTTTGGAGTTTGACTCTCTTTAAACTTGAAGCCTTCCTAATAAAAAGCCTTCCTACATGGGAGCGAAGTTCCTGAACCTGCTCCCAGAGACAATAAAAGACCCCAGCATAAGCAGCACCAGACAACGCTTATCGGCTTGGCTTGTGGAGAGGCCATTCTACACAGTTGAGGAGTTCATGAACTGGAGAACTTCACCGATGTTCCAGTGAGGATTAAACAACCCTCATAGTAATAACCATCACTACCGACAGCACCTCAAAGCCCAACAACTTTATGCTATTTTATAATTAAATCTCTGTAATGTTTGACGCCTATTCTGTACTCTATGTTCAAGAATAAAGTATTCTGATTCTGATTCTTGACACCCAGGTTGTATTCATGCTTTTTATTGTAGTGCCCAGCATCAATGATGCCAATACCATACCCAATAAATATACAAATAAAAGTCATTAAATAATCCTTACCTAATGTCTGTTTGTGCATGTACAGATTGATATCAGATTTGATATCCCTGAATAGGAATCAAGCAATTCATACATTTAACGCGGCTTGGTAAGTCACAATATAACTAAACATTCTTAAATGTACAGTACCTACCTGTAAAAGCTCCCTAACACAATGGTTAAGATTCAAAGTATTGTATCTAAAAATTATTGTTAGTTAGATTAGACCACTAAAACAAAACACAATAGCAAAAAAATAAAATCTATGTCTATATGTGTGCCGCTGCTTTAAAACAAAGCAGTTATTTTGTGTCTTGGTAAAAATTAAAAACTTTAAAAAAATTTACTTATAAATTAGAACTAACTACCTTAATGTCAAAAGGCAGGTCAGGAATCGGCTCCTCTTTGATTGTTATTTCATCCTCAAGAAAATAATATAAACCATCTTGAGCTTCTGTAATTTTTCTTTTCTTTGTCTTTTTTCTTTCTGTAAGATCTTCTTTTAACTGATAATCAATATTATTTTTTAGCCTACAAGATCGAATTCCAGTACATTTCATGATGTTATCCAAACCATAGCATGTCTCCAAATCAGCCTGAATTTTGTCCAATTCAGTTGGTTTTTTCTTTCTATTACTTTTGCATTTTGGGAGTGTGTTGCTGTCATTGTCCAGAACCCTTGGTTTACTGGACAGAATTGTAGAAAAGTTATGCCTATTTCCTTTTGATGAACTTTTGAACCCTACTTGTTTTGAATCTGCGCTGGTACTAATGTTAGGTACTTGAGTTTTTAATGGTTTCTGTTTTGTCTCTAATGTGCGTTGTACGTTTACTCCTAAACCACTATTGGCGTCTGCATTAAACTTTTCTATATTTGAGTTTGAAGTACTTGGAACTATTTTTGACTCTAATGAGCATTTCATATTTTTTCTCTTTCCAAAATTTGTTTTACCTTCAAATGATTTAGGATGGTTATGTATGGTCTTGCCTTTTGATTGTATGTGTTCCTTTGGAATGGGAACCTCTTTTTTAATTGACGGTGGTTTTCGCTCTTTGGAAACTTGTATATATTCACTCTCTTCAAGTGTAGAAGTAAATTCACTTATGACTTCTAAAATCTCAGACTGTGTTAAGCTTCTCATTCTATAAACTAAATCTTTCAGATATGATTTTTCAGAGCATCCATTTGCATTACATTCTTCTATATGATATGCAATTGCATCTTTCGTACTCTTACTTTTACTTGTTTCTTGAGCTTTTGTGTTAATGTTCTGTTCTGCAGTAAACATATTGTCTTTTGAGGGTTTTTGCAGAAGTGTATGATTATTTTTTGCTTCTTCACAATATTTAGTTTCTGATTTGATTGTAGGCAACAATTTTTCTTCAAGCTGTTTATTTCCCACTGAACTCTGATTTTTGCAATGTTTACCTTTACTTAGGTTATTTTTTTTAGAAGTACCATTCTTTTTAGAAAACTCTGCTTTGTGATCATGTGTTTTTAAATTGTCAGAAGTAAAACTACTATGATAGTAATCATTGTCATTTGCATTATCACCCTTTCTGAGCTTCAGGTTATTTTCCGGGCATTTCTGTTTCATATGTGGATGAATTGTTTGTGGGTTTACTATGTTTTTGACACGGTTGCCTTCATTTATAAGTCGTTTTAATGAACAACGATTTACAACTACTTTTTTTGCATCTTTAGATTCTACACTTTTGACTGGTGACTGTGCCTTTGACATTATTTTGATATTTCTTTTACAGGTAATTGGAGTGAGGTTTTTAACGTGTCTTTCAGTACTGGATTGCAACATTGATTTATTATGAAGTTCTCGTTTAGGAACATGTATAGGTCTATTAACTAGGGGTCCATTAGTATGCAAACAATTTTGCTGTTTACTTGACATGTTGTTTATTTGTTCAGCCTTTGAGTTTATTTGTTGATCACTTGGTAAATGGTTGAGAGGGATAGGAATTTCATTTTCTGACAACGTTTTTCTAACACCTGATTTGTCTTTTAAAAGAACTAAGCTCTCTTCTGTGGGTTGTTGACTAATCATCAAAAAGTCACTATTTTTACTTTTCTTGTCAATACTTTTTGAAAACCCTACTTGGTCATTTGCTTTCGGTCTGGATTCAAAACTTCCTCTTTCAATTAGTGGTTGTAAAATATTTTCACATGATTGTGACAGTAACATGAGAGAAGAGCAAGTAGATTCAATATTTTGTGCTTCAAATTTGTCACAATTCAACAAGTCTTTTTGTTTTACAAGAACCGCCGCATTTTTAGGGGCTTGAGAGTCTTTAACTCTAATATTGCAAGGTTTAGTATTTATTTCTTTAATTGTTTTGAATCGGAAATCCTTTTCTATCAACTTATTACTTTTACAGGAATTTCCCCCTTGAGAAACCATGTCAATGGGGAGGTTATTACAATGTGAGTCACTGATGGAGCTAACACTAAGGCTAGTTGGGTTAGAATGTATCCGACTATCTCTTTTGTTACATCTTTTTGGATAAGCTGTATTTTCCAAATGACTCATAAAACAGTCAAAGTCGTCACTAATTGACAGTTCATTTCTCATTTTATCCCGCTTCTCTACAAAATTATTAACAGAAGAAATATCAACTTGACACAGTTTTTTCCCAGATTTGAGATACTTTTCATTTTCAAAATGACAAACCTTAGTCATGGGTTTGACTCTAACCATGTTCTTTTTTGTAAATTCAACACCGCCAATATTTTCTATGTTACGACTATCATACTTCCTTTTTCTACTATCTGATTTTGTGATTTTTACATTTGTATAAGACTGTGGATATATATCTACATATAGACTTGATAATGGTGAAATGTAACTACTTTGTGTTGTTTGTGTTATCTTTTCCTGCTTAACATTTGCTGTTTTTTCACTGGCTTTTGATATGGAAGCCCAGACCTTAGTGTTTTCTATAGGTGCTTTCCTTTCTGAAACATTAACATCACAAGTTTTTTCAACATTTGAAAATTTGTTGGAATCTGGTCTCCTCTTGTCTACATATGTTTTGCTGTCAATTCTATCAGCTGGTACATTAATTGTAAGACTAACAGATTTTAGGGGCATGTATGAGGTATTTTTAAGATCACTTGGGTACAGGTTTAAGTCTCTCTTATAGCTATCTGGGCTCAAAAACGTCCATGACTGATTTATATTTTCTTCAGGAATGCCTTCTAAATTATATGTCTTTTTCATAGCTATCTCCACGTTGGTGTGTGTTGACATAGTATTGTTTGGAGATTGAGCCAACCCATAATCCATTTTATGATATTTATACTTTTCAGAGTTTTTTGTGTTTCCATGACCGGATTCTTTAGTAACATTGGTTAAGCTCTTCGGCAGAGGTGTTGTCATTCTTTTATTAGGGTTCATATCTTTTGATTTAATGGGTGCTAGAAAAGGGCAACCACTAACAGTACAAAAAGGTTTAGTAGAATTTGTTAATGTTGCAGTGCAATTAGGAGGAACACAATGGGTTAGGGATGGTGCAGGTATATTTTGAGGTGAAATCAGGTTTTGCTCTGAGGGGGTTTGCCGGGAGGTGAAATCATACTTGTTGTTTCTAACAACATAGGTTATTGCAGGTTGATGGAAAAACGCCTCTCTTGGATAATTAAGAGCATTTTCACTACACCTATGATAAGATGACCATGCTTGATGAATGTTGTCTACATTACCACATTGTGTATCCTTTGCCTTTTGATTTGAAGAGGGATTATTGTTTGAAATATTAAACAAATCAAGAATCGGCAAAGGAGCTAGTTTTTCTTTAAATTGAGTTTGGCTTATGCGTGGTCTTTCAGAATAAGAATAGTCATATTTTCTATTATAATGTTGCATAAAAAAAGGCAATTCACTTTGAAAATCATTATCTGTTAGTTCAACTTTAGAGTTTGAGTGAATGTTGTCTGGTTCTGAGGTAGTAGTTAGTTTATTTTCCTTTGTAAATTCAACAGTAGGTTCATCATTATAGGCTTTGTTAATTTCCCGTTTATCCTGTTCCAATGGTGTTTTATTACAATCATCTAATGAATAAATTTCACAAAATGGAGATTCTTTGTTTCTCAGTTGGGTTTGAGCATATCTTTCAGGTCCTTTTCTTAACATTCTGTTATGTTTTTCCCGTATTTCTGACTTTGTTGGGATCTTAACGGCAGTTTTACATTTGAAACTTACAGCATCAGAATTTTGGGCTAAGTTGTCTAAAGTAATCTTTTTAAGAATTGAACTTTTGCTTATTTCGTTTACATGTCGGTTTTGACTAGCCACAGAAGCCATTATATTCACATCAATGTCTTGGTTTTTCATATCTTTCTGTAAATTTATTAAATTCTCATCATGTTGGTCTTCTGGCAGATCTACAACACCCATTTGATTTTCAACTGGCAGTGTATTTCCAAGAGCTGATGCACTTATTTTAATGTCATTTCCATTATTACTGAAGTATTTTTTTAGAATTTTGTTTCTTTTTACTTCCTTGATGTCAGTTGAAGGTTTTACATCCCATCTTGAAAATGTTTTAGTTATTGTTCCACTGTTAGTTTGAATATCACCATTCAATTCTCCATCTCTGCTTCTGGAAAATGGAAATACTTTTTTTATTAAAGATATGATAAAAAAAAAAACATTAATATGTGGCCAAATTGTTTAAACAAATTGAACAATCAATCCATAGTGATTACCTAAATCTATTGTTTACATTGCAGTTCATTACTGAATATAATTACTGTATGAGGGTTTTTTTTAGTTTATCAACTAACACGATGTAAAAGTTTTATCCATAATGAAGTTGGATTGTATGTTTATCAAACTGCATGATTTTTGTCTATATTTAACAGTACTGCAATATAAGGTGTGGCTATGAAATAAAAAGACTGGTTATCTAAGAGACAAGCTGCGTAAGCTTCAAGGCCAAATGCCATGTTGCCGAGTCCTTTGACATCCTCCCTCCACAATCCGGCCGGTCCGACGATACTAGGCTGCTCTCTCTTACAGCGAGTGCATGGGAATCAAGATCAACGTATGTCACATTTACCGGTTTAGAGTTGCATAATTTTTTATAAAAAGAGAGAGAACATATAAAAAATACCCCCACCGCAGCAAACCTCCAGACTAAGCGAATTTCCATTAGCCTGATTGGATTTACACTAAAATGTCTCCTTAAAAATATCACATTATTATTACCTAGGTATTCAAGTAGAATTAGTTTAACGAGCACTTAGGTTTGCTGCAACAGGGAGGGTAAAAAGGTGTTTTTTTTTTAAAATGTTAATAGTTTAGTATGAAATGAATGCATTTCCCAAATTTGATCAAAATATGATCATAAACAAGCAAACTACAACAGTTTACTTATTCTCCATAAGAATAACATGGGAATTTTAAATTTTCAGTTTTTTGGAATTTTCTCCGTAACCATTAGGCACATAATAACGCTTCAATATACTAAATTATTTGTTTTTTTTTAAGCTCTACAAATTGGTTTGGAAAGAAAATGCTAAATTTTAAGTTTTTAGGGTCAAAAATGGGAAAAACCAATTTTTGCCCCATAAAACCCCCCATAAACCCCTGTTCCCATAGTCCGACCATGCTGGTTCGCGAACTCGTTCGAATAAACGTAGGTTTACACGTTTGTACCAAATTTCATCAAAATCGGATGATTTTTGCTTGAGTTATCGCGCTAACGGACACATATACAAATATCTATATATATAATTCTGTAAGACCAAATTTTTACCAGAAAATTGTGGACATCTGGTAAGTTGCAGAAAAATGGGAGAGGTCTTAAATTAAAGGTCTTGACCCCAGGGACTCGGGAAAAATAGCAGGATTCCCAGAAAATAACCAGAAAACGAGATATAACGAAAAATATTCACCATAACAAATGCATGGGGACTGAAAAACGTCTGCATTCTATCAGCTGTTACTTATTTATTTGCATTGTTTACATTTATTCCGAAAGTCAACGTTGGTAAATAATGTTTCCAAATGAATTGTCTTTAATTTTTTTGTTTTCCGTTTTTATAATGAGTGACGTAACTAGACTGGGTAGGGGAAGACCTGCAAGACGTGGAAGAGTGTCCAGGAATTCAACAGACTTAAGAAATGCAAAAGAGAACGTCATGTAGGGCCTAACTGTGAAAGAAATCCAGAAGCTGTCTTTAGAAGAACGCTGGAAAAAGGGGTCGCCGGAAGACTGCCCCCGGAAAACTACCCCCCCCCCCCAAACAGGTTCCTACGTCATATTGACGTCAGAGACCGGGGGGCAGTTTTCCAGTCACGGATACTCAAATTTAGTTGTCAAACAGTTCTAATCTAACCTAACCTAACCAACCAAACTTGCTGTAACATTTCGAAATTCTGTTTTATATTCACCACATGACTTTTCTATTATCCAATGGAATTACTCGAATTAAAAAAAATTACGTAGCATTATTTGTATAGGGGGGTAGTATTCCAGTCACGGACACGGCTTCCATATTGGTTAGTTGGCAGATTTTGTGACGTCACGTTTCACCTGGGGGGGGGGGGGGGGAGTTTTCCAGGGGATAGTATTCCGCATCCCCGGGAAAAGGCCACAAATGGACATTTCAACGCATGTTGCCACAATGGACATGCCACAACCACAAGTAAATGACGAACTAACTGTTTTTACATGATTCGAACTTCATAAAAACATAAGGCAATACAACAGTGCAATGGCAATTGCGTCGCTTTCCGCTACACAAATAGAGATTCCGGGAAATGGGCCTTACTGTCTTAAAAATCAGGGACAAATTCATAGATATATTTCTGACTTACCGTATCACCGCCAAATGGGGAGTTGCCTTCATAATAATTAATAATAATTTTAACCTTTACATTTGGTTCTCAAAATGAAAACTCTAACAGAATTCGTAAGATTACAAAACAAATCTTCAATTTTAAACTAGAAAAGATGTGCAATGTTTGGCTGTATGATTTCAGCTCTTATTCGTCACTCTCCGGGCTCAGGCCAACCGTGTGCACGTTTCCATTTGTAATACGTTGTGTTATTGATTTAATCATTTTACAATTGTAGGCTATTTCATTGACACATTAGAAGCAACTAATATACGACCCCAACAGAAGGAAAACCAAGATATAATACAAGAAACACTGTTAATTTTAAGTAACATAAAATTGATAATTTTAGAAACATATTTAGAATATTTGTCTTTTTATATATGTTTTTTTTATTGTAGTCTAAATTAGGGGCTATGGCCCCTACAGGCCGCTAGTATATATATATATGAATTTGAACGGATGGTGTTTTTGGTCTCTAGGGACCTCAAAACGAAAAAGTAAATCGGTCCCGGGTCCAGGTCTTACCAAAGTCAAAGTCAAAGTCATCTTTATTGTCACAAAACGTTTTTTTTTTAAATGCTCTGGCACAGCCAGACAAAACAGGTGATATTGTCAAACTATACTAAAATAAACTAGCTTATATTGGTAAAAATAAATACATAGTAGGTAACAAAACAAACAATTCACATTGATTTGTCTTTGAGAAACTGATCAATACTATAATAATTCTTTTCCAACAAAAATTCAAAAATTTTTTCTTTAAAAGATACTAATCCTATTATAGATTTGTAGTACCCAGGCAAATTGTTAAAAAATCTTTTACCCATATAAGAAGGTGTCCTTTCCACAAGATTTAATCTGTGTATAGGATATTGAAAATCTATGAAATCTAGTGTTGTAATTGTGCCGATTATTTTAACAGTGGAGTTTTTCAAAATTTGATTTCACATACAATAAACATTTAAGAATATACAAATTAGGGACGGTTAGAATCTTTAGTTCTTTAAAAAGTTGTTTGCAAGAATGTTTTACGGGTTTAAAAGTCATAATTCTAAGTATTCTTTTTTGAAGTTTAAAAAGTTGATACGAATCAGATGTGACGCCCCAAAGCTCTATTCCATACTGTAAAATTGACGAAAATAAAGCGTGATAAATCATTAGTCTAGTGTTTAAATCAACAACATTTCTTGAGACCAACATTTGAAAACATACTGAATTTAACTTTTTAGGCCTACCGCACACGAGAGACTTTTTGTCGGCCGACTATTTAGTCGTAGTCGGGAGTCAAAGTCGGCCCCATAGTGGTAAATCTGAGCGCGCACACGGGCCGACAGCAGCAAGACAGTCGGCAGACTGTCTTCAGACTGTCGGGGAGGTTTGGTGCTGACCGATTTTCCCGCCGACTGCTCCCCGACTCAACTGCCGTGTCTTATTGATAAAGGCACGGAGATAAGTTTGAACGCGCACACTGACGACTAAAAAGTCTGTCTGTCTGACAGTCGAGTGCGTTGTTATCATGTGTATTATTATTGTTATTATGATTAGTTTTATTATTTGTGTGTTATTGTTATTATTATGGCTTCGACAACCACAAGTGCAAATGTTTTGAGGGACGAGAAATTTGTTGATAAACTTTTCGATGAATTGGAGGCACGGTCCCCTCTTTATAAAAAGTCTTTGAAGG